ACAACAAAACGACAGGTGCCCAAGGAAGTGGACAGGCAGTCTCAGCATATTACTGCATGTGTTAAAGTAGGGGACCCCACAATGGTTGTGTTCCTTTGGTTTCCATTTACAAGCAACCTGTTGCCTTCCAAGCTTGCCGCCTACCCATTCTAATTCATTTGGTGTCCAGTTTTCCACCAGCCAAAAAGCGGAGGAAGGGGAAGGGGAAGAGGAAGGGAGAGCAAGTTTCCAAGGATCTCCGTTGCCCGTTCTGTGCGAGGGGGACAGGACAGCTCCCCGGAAGAGGTTGTGGTGTCTCTGGAGCGCGAAGGGTGGGTGGCGCCTCGCCAGCACAGTTGGTGAACCACTCAATTCCCATTCTAAACCAATTGAGTTGGTGAGTGGTCCATCTGTTTTGGCTGGGGGAGGTTGACTGTGTAGGGGGCGGGATAATGTATCTAAGGTGAGGCCATGAGCCCGTTCAACCAATCCTTGACGGTCTTGAAAAATGGATTTGTCTCCACAGGGCACAAGAGCTGGAAAATCCTCGGGGCTCTAGAAAACCAAGGAACCCTCGCAAAACCCTCGCGGAACCCTACGGAACCTTACCTCAGAGCTGCCCCGGACCCTTGCGGAACCCTGCGGAACTCTCGCGGAACGCTCGCAGAACCCTGGAGTTTTGCTTCCACCGACTGTCTATTTTGGCGGCAAGCTGCAGGGGAAAGCTCGGCAAGTCAGTAGTGGATTGTCTCGCCTTCCCATGTTGGGATCGGGGATCCCCCGGCAAAACATGTTCTTCTGGTCACGTGTTCTGCGCAGGATCCAGACTTGTGTCAGGTTGGTGAGTCGTTATTTGCCTAGATTGGACTTAAATAAAATGGAACTGGAGCCAGACGATGGATCGGACAGTCTAGAAGTCCACCCTCCCTCGGCTGAACACCACCGCACCGCACAAGGCCTTTCGCATGAGCCGCTCTGCGGCTCAAAAGATTCAAGGGCGCGAACCCCAGAGGCGCCGAGTTCTGGACCCAAGGCCCCCTATAGGCGTCCATTTTGCTGGGTAACCCTGGGGTTTTGCTGGCATGGCACATTCAGGGTTGGCATTTTGGTTTGACTTTGGCTGGCGTGGTATTCCTTGGTAAAGCCTGGTCTTTGCTGACCTGATGTATTCCGGGAATTTGCTTGGAGTCGTGGAGTGGGCCATGGGTGCGCGGGTCGTGCAGGCTGTCAAGACCATCGATGCCGAAGGGTGCGGGTGGCAACTGAACATCTAACAAAGGCGGGGACCTATGGTTCCCGCTAAACTGTTGGTCTTCGTCTTTTTTGTGTTGTCTCCCTTTGAGGATCGGTTAAAGTATACTATACACTGTAGTCTATTTTGGTGTGGGAGGTGAAATCTAGGGGAGTGCGGGACTCCCTGAAAAGTCACACACACACACCGAGGGAATTCGCCATGCCGAGGCTCCGAGAGATGCTGCAGCTGGTCTTCCGCCTCTTCTGCCGGGGGCTTGGATGCCAAACGGAGGGGAGTCTTGTGAGCAACAGTCCACGTTTGCTATCATCTACTTGTACTGATTGTCTTTCGGGAACATTGGGCACGCGCACCAACTTATCAATAGAAGATGGGGGTTACTCACCAACTGTCCATGTGTGTTGGGCGCACAATGAATGTTGACTGTGCTGGGGCAAGGTCGAAACGTCCACCTCTTTTGGTTCCCCTTGACACCATCCACAACGAGCGATGAGACTCCCATGCGGCAGGTAAGCAACAGCCAGTCCAATCAGATGCCATTGCCCATGTTTACCTTTTGAGTGTTTGCTTTTTGGGGTGGACACCTCCCGTTGCATAAGTCAGGGGACCCGTTCAACAGGTTCTAATAAATCGGGTCCCGTCGCTTGCACAGGACAATCATGTGCTGCACTGGGTCACCCAAAGGGCATCATCCTTTTACCTTGGCTGGGCAGGGCGTTTGGGTTGGACGTCGCCGGCCGAATCGAGGCAGCGATTCTGATGGCTTCGCCAAGTTAATGGCAGACGGAGAGGCCGCAGCACAGCACTTGCGGGCGCTGGGAAGATCAACTTCCTGGCTGTTTGGATTGGTGACCATTGTAGGACAAGCTTCCACTTGCAACCTGGCTGGTGAGCCACTTTTATAGCTACCCTTTCCGCTTGAGGAATGAAAGCTTGCTGAGGCACATTCTGAGGCACCCTAGGACACACCCATGTGTCAGGGATGGTATATGCATTTGTGGGTCTTTCTGTCAAAGCAATGGCTTTGGAATGTTTCGTGGTACCCCTGAAAGGAGTCGGTGTTGTAGGGGTGTTGAGTTGAGCAACATGCTCGAAGAGTTCTCACCGCCTCGGCCACGGGGAATCACATTTGTTTGACTCATCTCAAAGAAAGCTGGTTGAAGACCATTTCCTGCACAAACAGCGCCTTTTGCTCTGGCAGGTTTTGAAGGATGCACAATGTTTATCACCTGCAGCAAAGAACACTCCCGCGATTCACTGTGCAAGGGTGACCTTCATTTGGCTTTGCTTCCAGGTGGGTTCTACTATCCTTGACCTCGTGGTTGGCGGCCCCAGCAATGCAGCGCGTTTCTGGTCGCAATCTGCGATGCACCCATGGTGCGTCTTCATGTGGGTTGTGATTGTTCCTGTTTGTGTCATTATTGTCGTAGTTGTCGTAGTTGTCGTTGTAGTTCTGCTGCTGCGTTTACCGCTTTGCTGTTGGGATTGCTGCCACCGACATCGTTGTTGAGGTTGTCACTGCTGCGTTGTGTTTTGAAGCATGCACCGCTTCCGTCATTTTTCTGTTGTTCTTGTTATTGGTCATATCATGGTTGCCAACGCTGCTGCGACTGTGGTTGTAGCTGTCGCTGTTGTGGCATGCTTGACGTTTCCAAATCGATTTGGAAGTTGCGATGTGGTGAGCCTGCTTGAGCTCGCATGGTGTGTGGATTTGGGTGTTTGCTAGGGGAAGCCTTCCAGCACAATCACAGGGCCCAGGCATGCTTGCCCTCCACAGGTCAAAACCCAACACTCTCTTCCATCTCGGGTTGGTATGTTCCCACTGAACATGGAATCAACCTCAAACAGGGAAAAAGGCTCGCTCTTGCATCCGTGGGTGAATCACGGGCTCTTAGAATCTACAGCCATGGTCAGAAGGCCTTTCCACTCTCCTGGGAAAAGTTCCTAAGGGAGCCAGGGCCACATGGAACTCAATGAGTTTGACCGTTTGACCATGACGATTAGGTCCTACCAGTTTGCATTAGAAGCCCGTGCATGAGTTGTCCTCGCTGAGGCAGTCAATGCGAAGCCGTAGATTGTTTCAGATACACTGTTTGCTGTATGACAATGGTTCAGATGATAAGAGAAATGCAGACACCATCAACTGGCTCCAGGTGCGATCTGTGTTTGTGATGGGTAAAGATCTTTTCCGCCACGCCACTTGACGTTGGCATACTTCAGACTTACGCTTTTGCAGAGAAATCTGGTGGCTTGGCTTGCTTCACCTAGTCCGGGCTGTAGGCCAAGATGATCCAAGCCGAAGGGCCAGAGAACATGCTGGGGTCCCAGGGGCCTGGTGCAGAGGGGCTGAGGGTGCATCAAGTTTCTGGTTCAAGGTTTGCGACTCGGGATGCTCGCAGCTTGATCAAAATGAAGGTTTTGAACATTCGAACCAACTCGCACATGCAGATGTTGCGCCGCTTGCACGGGTGGCATGTATGCCTCCGGTGCCCACTTGGGTCCTGCTTGCCGAGCTGCCCGTTTGACTCGGAGTCCCCAATCAGTCATCAAGTGCTCCAGCGTTCAAGCTAGACTCTAGCACTTGTCTTGGCCAAGTCGCCAGCCACCTAGCCGCCTCGCATCCACCGGTTCCCTGTGTGCCTCACACTTGGATTGATTCCCGTCAGGTGCAGGCTGCCGACGCCTGTTGGGGGGAGCGCAAAGGTCCACCTTCCCATCCACCAGCGGGGCTTCAAATTGGGCGGTTCCTTTGTCGACTTCAAATTGGTGGGAGCAAAACGGGCGGTACAGACGCGGGAGTTGAGTTCCGCGGCACTCGAGGCGTGAGCGCCAAAGAGCCGGGGCCCTGGATCCCTGGCGGCAAGATGTTGGGATTTGCAGGGAGAGGCCAAGGTGATTCTACGAAGACCCTTTCCCTCTCAGAGAAACCAAAAGTTGGTTGGAATTCATTGCGGTTTAGAGGATTGGCCGCCCTGATTGTGAGCCGACCTGATCATTTGCTTGTTGTCCGTGCCGCTTTTGGCCCAGAAAGGTGAAGGATCAACCTGCCCCCAAGTTGGCACACTGCACCAGCCCAGGACCTGCTGAGTTGAAAATCTTTAAACTTGTGGGTAGGTGTGTTCCTCATTTTGGTAAAGGCCCAAAAACTGCAATTGTGTTTTGCCAGTCAACTCAGCAGTTCAGTTATGTCAAGAATGTTTGAACAGTGAACTTTGATTTACCCAAACAAACAAACAAACAAACAAGCAAACAAACATCCAGTAGCGTAGATGAAACGTGTATCCTGTGGAATCCATTGATAAGCCTGCCCATGTGCCCATGTTGACAAGACATGGCCCCCCCCCCTCTGCCCGTTTTTCGAGAGTACCCCTCCTTGCGCTTGAAAGGAAGAACATTCTATGGGTTCCCGCATGTTGCACGGCTTCAGAGGATAGAATTGTATGCCGTTGCACATTTGTCTCGCAGATAGGCTATTGGCCCAACCTTTTGTGCCCCAACCCTAATTTGTTCATTTCAGGTTGTTTACCCTCCCACCAAACCGGGAAGTGCACAGACCCGCTTGAAAAGAGTGTTCTCTTGGAAAGGGAGTTTGTGTATGTCCCTGCCTGTTTGTTGGAGGGTAGTTATTTTACTTCACCCCGACATCCCTGGCTGTTTCTTTGCTGTAACCTCCCAGACGGGCACTGGACATTTGCAGGCGCTCAATGGTTGGGGCCTCAGCTGATCAACAGCTGCTCATACTCTTCCACGTTTTCCCAGTAGGGCTGTGGATGGACAAATGGCGCACCAGTTGGTCGGCTGTTTATGCCAGTATTTGCCAGTATTCACAAGGTGTCATCCATCCCAACTGGTGCGGAATTCCGTTCATCCACAGTGGCTTTGTGGCAAGTTGGCTCAGTTGGCAATTCCAAAGGCGGTCGATGCTTGCAAATCAGAGTTGAAGTCGTGTGTAGAAGTTGGCACAGGCTGAGGAAATATGGTTGCTAAGAAGAGAAAGGTAATGAGACCTAGGATGCGATGATGGAAATCAGAGTTGTGCAGTGCCGCATAATTTTGTTCCCATGCAATTAGAGTCTGATGGGACAGCACATCAGCTACGGAATTCAAGATTCTGGCAGGCACCTGCTTTTGGACTGTAAATATACGTATTATGGCTATGAACGGAAAAGGGAACCACCTCAATAGCGGTTTTATGTCCACCACAGTGTCCCCCCACTCAGACAAGTCTCATGCCACCCGGCAGCGCTGAACCCATTCATATTGGTAAAAGCAGAGTTGGACGACCTAGACAACAATGGCTGTTTAGGTCCAATGAGGCTATCCACAATCGAATTAGTCACTCAGATTTTGATGCTGACCCTTTCCAAAACAGATAAAATTATACGCGCCGCCCAACAAAGGATAGTATGAGGCTAAGCCAAGCGCCGAAGCATCTTGCTTAGTTGCAGCTGTCTTGCAACGAGATGCATGGCACGACAAAAAAAGTCCCCCCATTCAAGTTCACACCAAAAATTGGTGTTGCTTGTGACGAGGGGGAAGGGTGGTTATGTTGCAAGCGGTCATTGTTGAATGCCGCCTCTTGTGGGACAACCTAGGCAAGTTTCGCGCCCTCCGCCATCACTTGCAAAGCCCCCTTCTCCACACCACCTGATGCCCCAACACCCTTGTGCTTATTCGGGTGCACAAGGTTTTCTTGGTGGCACATTCCCAGATTGAGTCAATGAGTCAACCCCTTCTTGATTTTGGTTGGGGAGGCCCCTTTGAAGCATTCAGTTTGATGAACACCCTCCCGTATTGTATAATCCGCAAGGTTGATTGCTCCAGGGTCAACCGGACTGCACACTCAGCCCCGGTTTTCTTTGGACGGGTCAGTTGTATTAAAATCCAGGATGGACAATCCTTGGGTAAGACGAGCCAAACCTATTATGTAGCTCCTTTCCTTGGGGATCTAATTGGCATTGCATTGGTCGGGTATATTGCAAATTTAGATGTTTTCGGCTTGGAGCATATCGCTAGAATGTTCTTCGACTGCTCATTTCAGATCTTGGCATCACATTTGTAGACATTGGAATCCCAGAGCCAGGTCAGCGGCCACAAAGGCCTGTGCCAGGCGAGATGGGCTTGACGGCCATGGATCCTCGTCGTCTCTGGGTGCGAAATAAGCCATGGTTAGGCCCAAAAGGGAGGGGGTAGTCTGATTTGTCCAGACCCTCCATCAAACACCCGGACCATGAAAAGGGAAATAGCACTCCCTACAAGGAAGAATGTCTTGAGTCAAAGAACTTGCTTGTAGCACGTGTTGTTTACAATTGCATTGTGGTACGAACACCACGCAAAAAAATCTCCATCAGTGGAACCATCGCAAAAGGTTTCACCATGAGGCAACCAAGGTCGGCACAAACACGCTTCAACAGTCAGTTTAAACATGTTTCAGCGTCCTGACGTGGAAACGTTTAAGCTTGTGCGCAGGTGGTGCGGTGGTTGTTTAAGCGTTTAAACATAATAAGCGGGTTTGAAAGAATGGCATTGCTCGCAAGCTTCAAACTTGCAAAACTAGAGTTGTTTCTTGTCCCCAGAAAGTGCAGAGCACAGCGCTCTGATGCCGGAAGCCACCGGGGCCAATTGTATGTGCTTGGGCTTCTCTTGATGGGGCTCCAGTCCAACCAGGTTTTGGAAGCATTTCCCACATCTCCTTCACTTGCGTTGATCAACCGATTCATCTCATGCAGGCTTTGCACGGTCTACCCACTCCCTGACTAGTTGCTTCGGCAAAGCATAGCGCCCTCACGACATGGATTTGCAACCTTACCGCTGGTGATTCATGTCTTTTGCACGACCTCACTGCTGGTTTCTTTCGTTCAGATCCTTTTGTGGTCGGTGGATAATTTTCGTTCTGCGACTGTGAGCCAGGAGCTAGACAGGCTCACCGTGCAGTGCGCCTCGTGTGGATATCGAAGCCGTGAACATGGGAAGTGCCACTGGTGTCAGGGAGTTATTTTCCACGCCCAAAGCCCTTGGAAGGTACGAACAAGCTCGCAGGAGCTCTGCATTTGCAGCTTTTGCCAGGTGCTGAGAGCCGTTGGCTTGGTCGGAATTTCACTTTGCTCTTGGGGAGAAGCTTCTGTAATCTGGGACAGGCGTTTTTGTCCTTCACTGGCATCCAATGAAACTGCCGCTGGAGGTAAAGAGGGAAATCGAGAGACTCCTGTCGAATCACGGCAAAAGGGAACCAGCCTTCGGATTGTCAACTCCACGCATACGATTGACGAAGCCACGCACGACCAGCGTACCTGGGACCGCTGGTTCTTTCCTATGATCCAGCTCCCACCGTCCCGCACCCCCTGCCACTCACCCACCAAGCTGGGCCCATTTTCTCGGAATGTGTTTGCAGTTGGCCACTTTTGGAGCCCAACAAGCAGACCCTGTCCACCATACCAGGAAACCTTTCAGTATTTGCCTTGCATACAGAGTTTCTCAGAGTTCGGGCAGTTTCCTTTGGTGATCTTCAGTGATGTTTGTTTCCTTCGCATTGGAAGCTTGGTAAGCTGCTCTGATTTCTGTGTCTGTCAATGTAGGGGGACGCTGAAATTGGTGGTTGTTCATTTGGCAACCTGAATCTACTCGGTTTCCACGCACGACTACGGGATTTCTGTGAGGCGGCCGCCAGATGCTCGCATCCATGGGAAGCTCTTGCCTCAGATTCGATCCACCTGGCAATCCTCGCGAGAGTCGATTGGCTGGAAGCTCTCAATGCCTTCCCTGCCCAGTTTGCAGAACTCTTAAGCTTTTTGTTGGCAGTTTTCTCTATTTGAGTCAAGGCCCAAGAAGTAAACTAAACTGGGCAGTCAATGCAGCAGGGCTTGCATTGGCTATCACACTCTTCATTGAACTCAAGCCACAAGCCGAGCGCGAGTCATGTCCGTTGGTTCCACTTAAATTGAGCCGAACCTCCCAAGCAAAAATTGGCAATGTCAGGCTAAGATTGGATAAGAAGGCATGCTGAGTAGTGGGTTCTGCGCATTCTGCAAAGCAATTTCCATCCGATCCCTTCATGCACGCCAGCCCTTCCGCAAACGCTTCGTGTCAAGATGTGTCAAGGCACAACTTCATTCATGTGTGTGGGCGGTATGTGTGTGTGTGTGTTTGTGTGTGTTTTTGTGTGTGTGTGTGTTTGTGTGTGTGTGTGTTTGTGTGTGTGTGCTTGTGTGTGTGTGTGTTTGTGTGTGTGTGTGTTTGTGTGTGTGTGTTTGTGTGTGTGCTTGTGTGTGTGTGTGTTTGCGTGTGTGATTGTGTGTGTGTGTGTACGTGTGTGTGTGTGTACGTGTGTGTGTGTACGTGTGTGTGTGTGTGTGTTTGTGTGTATGTGTGTGTGTTTGTGTTTGTGTTTGTGGGTGTTTGTGTGTGTGTGTTTGTGTGTGTGGTTGTGTGTGTGTGTGTTTGTGTGTGTTTGTGTTTGTGAGTGTTTGTGTGTTTTTGTGTGTGTGTGTTTGTGTGTGTTTGTGTGTGTGTTTTTGTGTGTTTGTGTGTGTTTGTGTGTGTGTTTGTGTGTGTGTGTGTGTTTGTGTGTGTGTTTGTGTGTGTTTGTGTGTGTTTTTGTGTGTGTGTGTGTTTGTGTGTGTTTGTGTGTGTGTGTTTGTGTGTGTGTGTGTGTGTGTTTGTGTGTGTTTGTGTGTGTGTGTGCTTGTGTGTGTTTGTGTTTGTGTGTGTGTGTTTGTGTGTTTGTGTGTGTGTGTGTTTGTGTGTGTGTTTGTGTGTGTGTGTGGGTGTGTTTGTGTGCGTGTGTTTGTGTGTATGTGTGTGTGTGTGTTTATGTGTGTGTGTGTGTGTTTGTGTGTGTGTGTTTGTGTGTGTGTGTGTTTGTGTGTGTGTGTTTGTGTGTGTGTGTTTGTGTGTGTGTGTGCTTGTGTGTGTTTGTGTTTGTGTGTTAGTGTGTTTGTGTGTGTGTGTTAGTGTGTTTGTGTGTGTGTTTGTGTGTGTGTTTGTGTGTGTGTTTGTGTGTGTTTGTGTGATTGTGTGTGTGTTTGTGTGTGTTTGTGTGTTTTTGTGTGTTTGTGATTGTTTGTGTGTGTGTGTTTGTGTGATTGTGTGTTTGTGTGTGTGTGTGTTTGTGTGTTTTTGTGTGTTTGTGAGTGTTTGTGTGTGTGTGTGTTTGTGTGTGTGTTTGTGTGTGTGTGTGTGTTTGTGTGTGTGTTTGTGTGTGTTTGTAAGTGTTTGTGCTTGTGTGTGTGTGTGTTTGTGTGTGTGTGGTTGTGTGTGTGTGTGTGTGTGTTTGTGTGTTTGTGTGTGTGTTTGTGTGTATGTGTGTGTGTGTGTGGTTGTGTGTGTTTGTGTGTGTTTGTGTGTGTGTGTGTGTTTGTTTGTGTGTGTTGTGTGTGTGTTTGTGTGTTTGTGTGTGTGTGTTTGTGTGTGTTTGTGTGTGTTTGCGTGTATACACATTTATATATATGGTTGCGTGTGCTTATATATATATATATGTTTGTGTGTGTCCTTGTGTGTGTGCTTGTGTGTGTTTGTTTGCGTGTGTGTTTGTGTGTGTGTGTGTTTGTGTGTTTTTGTGTGTTTGTGAGTGTTTGTGTGTGTGTGTGTTTGTGTGTGTGTTTGTGTGTGTGTGTGTGTTTGTGTGTGTGTTTGTGTGTGTGAGCGTGTGTGTGTGTGTGTTTGTGTGTGTGTGGTTGTGTGTGTGTGTGTGTGTTTGTGTGTTTGTGTGTGTGTTTGTGTGTATGTGTGTGTGTGTTTGTGTGTGTGTGTGTGTGTTTGTTTGTGTGTGTT